ACAAAAATAAAATTCAGGTGTTAAACGTTGAAAAGCTTCTAAATGGAATGTAACCAGTAATGGTTTTTATCATACTCAAAATCCGGCATATAGATTAAAAAAATAATTTCAATAACGAAAAGCTACTATCCGTTTAATAAAAAATTTCGACTTTTCACAAACTCAAAATTTCGACTTGTTTTCAACTCAAAATTGTGATTTTTTTAAAACTCAAAATTTCGACTTCTATTAAACTCAAAATTGTGACTTTTTTAAAACTCAAAATTTCGACTTCTATTAAACTCAAAATTTCAACTTTTAAAATCTCGAAATTTCGACGACTTTTCCTCAGTATTTATACGTTTGTGATTTTCATTGATCATTTCTAATTAATTTTCATATATATATAATGAAAAATGTTTTGAAGTGAATGAACATGGACGTTTCTTTAATCCAAGTATGGTAACGATTAACCTATATTACGAATGTGAAATTATATGAAACTTCAAGGATGTTGATTAAATTAAAAACGCCTGTTCCCTGTTGTAATGTTCCGAATGACAATAGCGGGAAATATAAATACAACTCTTATGAACGTGCGGTTTATACAAAATTGTCAAATTGACCAAAACCAGTGAAAATGCATGAAAAGTTGGAAAAAGCACACTGCCTACTTGAACTGTTAAAATGTAATTAAAATTATATATAATAAATGCCTACCTTTAGGCTTTCTTTACTGTTTGATGCTCTTATTTTCACTATTGAGGAAAACTCTTCTCCGGACTTTTTTGCAGCACGCAAGCCATCAACGATTAGATAAAGTTTATTTTTGTCACTGTTATCATATTTTAACCACCACATTTTGAAACTAGTAAGTATATCAAGAACGTATATTTGCACACTGAGAATCAAAATAAAGAACTAAGTTTATTTATATCATATTTTCTTGTGAATTGGGCATTCATTGGTAGAAATTATTTCTTTGCTTTTTGATTAACACGAAGAATCAAAAGAGGATGTAATAGAAATCTATAGATTTCAACAACCATGCAAAATCTAACACTTAACTATTAAAATAATTATAGACGCCTCATTTTCGGTTAGCGTCTACATATGACATTTACTATCTATTCCTGATATTTCGCAAACTTTATTGCACATAACGTAATTATTTTTGTTAGCCAGTAATGCCTTTTCATTTGACGAAACTTAAGGAACACCTTTGTTGCAGAAGTTACAATATAAAAAATCTCTAGACATGCGATATATTTTCAAATATCCAAAATTCAAAATATGTTTTTATTTTTTTAAAGTTTTTACCTTTATTATTTTTTACCACATTATATACAACTAACAACACCGTCACATCTTACATCCATCTTTGTACCCCGTTGTATACAATTAACAACACCTTCACATCACATCCATCTTTGTAACCCGTTATATACAACTAACACTACCGTCACATCACATCCATCTTTGTACCCGGCTATATACAATTAACAACACCTTCACATCACATCCATCATTGTACCCCGTTATATACAACTAACAACACCTTCACATCACATCCATCTTTGTACCCCGTTATATACAACTAACAACACCGTCACATCATATCCATCTTTGTACCCCGTTATATACAACTAACAACACCTTCCCATCACATCCATCTTTGTAACCCGTTATATACAACTAACAACACCTTCACATCACATCCATCCTTGTACCCCGTTGTATACAACTAACAACACCTTCACATCACATCCATCCTTGTACCCCGTTATATACAACTAACAACACCTTCCCATCACATCCATCTTTGTAACCTGTTATAGACAACTAACAACACCTTCACATCACATCCATCCTTGTACCCCGTTATAGACAACTAACAACACCTTCACATCACATCCATCCTTGTACCCCGTTATAGACATATTCCAACACCTTCACATCACATCCATCCTTGTACCCCGTTATATACATCTAACAACACCGTCACATCACATCCATCCTTGTACCCCGTTATATACAACTAACAACACCTTCCCATCACATCCATCTTTGTACCCCGTTATAGACAACTAACAACACCTTCACATCACATCCATCTTTGTAACCCGTTATATACAACTAACAACACCGTCACATCACATCCATCTTTGTAACCTGTTATAGACAACTAACAACACCTTCACATCACATCCATCCTTGTACTCCGTTATAGACAACTTTCAACACCTTCACATCACATCCGTCCTTGTACCCTGTTATAGACAACTAACAACACCTTCACATCACATCCATCCTTGCACCCCGTTATATACAACTAACAACACCGTCACATCTTACATCAATCTTTGTACCCCGTTATATACAACTAACAACACCTTCACATCACATCCATCCTTGTACCCCGTTATATACAACTAACAACACCGTCACATCTTACATCCATCTTTGTACCCCGTTATAGACAACTAACAACACCTTCACATCACATCCATCATTGTACCCTGTTGTATACAACTAACAACACCGTCACATCTTACATCCATCTTTGTACCCCGTTATAGACAACTAACAACACCTTCACATCACATCCATCCTTGTACTCCGTTATAGACAACTTTCAACACCTTCACATCACATCGATCCTTGTACCCCGTTATATACAACTAACAACACCGTCACATCACATCCATCCTTGTACCCCGTTATATACAACTAACAACACCTTCCCATCACATCCATCTTTGTACCCCGTTATAGACAACTAACAACACCTTCACATCACATCCATCCTTGTACCCCGTTATATACAACTAACAACACCTTCCCATCACATCCATCCTTATACCCTGTTATATACAACTACCAACACCTTCACATCACATCCATCTTTGTACCCCGTTATATACAACTACCAACACCTTCACATCGCATCCATCATTGTACCCCGTTATATACAACTAACAACACCTTCCCATCACATCCATCTTTGTACCCCGTTATATACAACTAACAACACCTTCCCATCACATCCATCTTTGTAACCCGTTATATACAACTAACAACACCTTCACATCACATCCATCCTTGTACCCCGTTATATACAACTAACAACACCTTCCCATCACATCCATCTTTGTAACCCGTTATATTCAACTAACAACACCGTCACATCACATCCATCTTTGTACCCTGTTATAGACAACTAACAACACCTTCACATCACATCCATCCTTGCACCCCGTTATATACAACTAACAACACCGTCACATCTTACATCAATCTTTGTACCCCGTTATATACAACTAACAACACCTTCACATCACATCCATCCTTGTACCCCGTTATATACAACTAACAACACCGTCACATCTTACATCCATCTTTGTACCCCGTTATAGACAACTAACAACACCTTCACATCACATCCATCATTGTACCCTGTTGTATACAACTAACAACACCGTCACATCTTACATCCATCTTTGTACCCCGTTATAGACAACTAGCAACACCTTCACATCACATCCATCTTTGTACCCCGTTATAGACAACTAACAACACCGTCACATCAATTCCATCCTTATACCCCGTTATATACAACTACCACCACCTTCACATCTGTGCTTGACTTAGTAAGTGAGGCTGGTCGTGTGTTTAATATTAGAATGAGCTGAGTCCCCACTAAGGAAGAGGAATTGAGAAATAAATCAATTTTAAAATCAAAATTACTCCAAAAACTTTATTTTCTGTTCATAGTGTGGCGTGATCGTTATTTTGCAAAACATTGTCTTTAACTTGCAGTACTATGAGAGTCTTGCTTCGTGTTAATGTTTCACTGTGACTTTGATGGCAATGAGTCTTTTGACCGGCTATGTGCCATTTTCGGATCTTGGTCTCCCAGGACGTGCAGTATTTTCAATAGTGGATTTTTCCATTTTCATTTCTTAAAATATACTTAAGCTACATGTATAATCGTTATATTTCATTGAGCGTAATACGTGACGAAATTGGGCAGTTTTGGATGAGTGCATTGGCTGAACTTTTTTCACTATTACACGCCAGTAAAAGAATTGAGAGTTCCAAAAAGGTATCAAACATGCAGAAATATGTCTACTTTAAATATTTTCAGACTTTGTGGGCAACGGCATGGCTACTTCGGTTTCAGGACAATATATGGCCCTTTGTAAATTACTATAGCAAGGAATTTCTTTTCCAACGTTTCACTTTAGAAATAAACGAAAAGAAATATAATTGACATGTCTTTCGGCAGCAAGGATAAGCTCATTTGCATTTAATTTACATTTTTATTTAATTTCCGAAAACCGTGCATATTTCAAATACACATTTCAGCATAACATAAAGGTTCATAGCACAAATTTATGTACTTTTATAACGATAGATTTTGGAATACTGAAAATAATTTCTTACAGATGATTTAGTTGTATTGAAGGAGGTGGAGGTTGTTTATAAGTAAAATTGTTACAGTTTTTTTTTATTTTCTTTCTCGCTAGTACTCACATTTGTTAACACAAATAGTCATATGCTTCTTACAATTTAGCGTAAAAATGAGCTGTACAATTATAAATTTTAACGATTTCAAACATCTGACTTTTGAATATATTACTTTACATATATGTTTTTAAGCTACGATTTTTGTAAATTTCAATTCTTTATTTCATTTGTTTTAATTCTAGTATCATAAATATTGCTTGTTGTATTAACATGTCAATGATAATTTTCTATATTTCACTTTACATTGAAGTTAATGAAACGACATCCTTTAATTATTTAAAGTGTACACATTAAATGATTATTCTTTATTATTATCTTTTATAACTAAGAATGTCAGTCGTCTTGCATCATTAGCACGAGTGTATTAATAGTTATATTGATGTTGCTGAAATATATAAACCAATATGTCAAGAAATAAAACGAGTCTCATAATTTGGATAAATCTTTGATGAGAATACTACAAAGCGCGAAGCGAAATTTCATATGTTGAGATGGATGAAAGTGATTCTGACAGAAATGACAATCTTCTAGAACTTGATGGTGGAATATCTGATCCAAACAGTTTTCAACATGATATATTTGTGAGTCCATTTAAAAGATATGTGAACAACTCTTCGAGTGTGACTGACCAAGAAGAAGAACTAGACGCCGGTGAATCGCCTAATCGTCTGTGTAAGTTTAGTACATAAGTAGATTATATAGCTTGTTTATTATTCTAGGCAAGGGAAACACTTTTAAGGGAAGTGCTATTTTGCAGGTTGCGGGTTGCAGGTTGCAGGTTGCGGGGTGCAGGTTGCAGGTTTCGGGTTGCAGGTCAATATAAATATTATATATGTAAAAAGGTCATATTAGGGGAAATAATACATATAAAGGCTACCCCATGACTGATAAATTTACAAATTATTTCTTACAGTACACACACTGTGGGGTAGAAGTATTTTGTCAGTTATCAGTTGTCAGCATTTAATTTTCTCATTTTTTTAATCATAATCTTCAAATTCAATAATCATAATTTTAATACACATACATGTATCTTTTGATGCTTATCTTTAACTGCTCAATTGCTATTAATAGTTCTAAACATTGATTCTAGTAAAGTAATAAAAACTTCAAATTGACATAGGCTGAACAGGTTCTCTGGAACACATTAATCTGTCTTAATCTACAGTAGTTACATAAACAATTAAATTCCTTTCAATGGACACTCAAAATCTTTGAGGCTAATATATTAAGAAATTATGAGCTTTAAATAAAGATATGCCTTTTCTTTTGTTTGCCAAAACGGAAGGGGCACCTCTGTTTGCCGGTCTTTACTCAGTGATTCAGCACTTTTGGTTATCTCTAGCAATTATCTGGTTTCTCAACTGTCAAGTCAAAACTTAAAACAGAAGTGTGTTCAGCTGCTATAAAACAGCAATTTTCTAAGAATACATTTTTGTTTGGCCTATCGAACTTTAAAATGGTTTGTCAGAAAGAGACAAAACACGATTATTAAGTTTACGTATAATTTCTCCAATACAGAAGTGATGTACTTAGATACTGAGGTGTACAAAGGGGAGCGTTTTAAATCGAGTGGTGTCCTTGATGTTAGGTTGCGTGTCTTATTAGTATCTCCCAATTACAAGTGCACATCCTAGACATACTTTTTAAATTGCATGCTATAACAAGTGAAACAAGTCGTCACATAAGAAACAATAGCAACGAAACTGACCTCAACAAACATCTTATGACTTTAGAGAAATAAACTTATAGATAGAGGTTATGACAAGTTTCAAATGTGTAAGACATTACAGATGTGAAACACAAGATTAAAAGATGCAGTACTCTGTCAAATAATTTTAGAAAAAAGTCCCCCGCGTATCACTTATTTAATATTTCAAGTGACATAACTCTTTTTAAAAAATCCGATCGTCCACCATTATAGAAATTGTCCGAGATACTGCTGATATTAACCGAAAGTATAAGTTTTATAAATATCTGGCAAGAATTGTACCTGTGAGAACGCTAACGATGCCATTTTCCATAAATTTAATATTTCCAAGGGACATTAATCTTTTTAAAAAAGTCGATCGACCACCATTTTAGTTTGTCAGAGATATTACTGATATTAAACTATAGTATAAGTTTAATAAAAATCTAGCAAGAATTGTACCCGTTAGAGCACTAACAAAACCAGACGGACGGACGGACGCCCGGTATTTCAATGTCCCCTGCAACGCGTAACGCAGGGGACAAACAGATATTTATCATAGCGTATAAACGCAGTAAGTATTTAAAGGAGCATCACTTGAAAACAAGACTCTTAAATAGGTAGACTTTTGAGAAGGACCCTTGCTAAGAATGCAATAGAACTTAGCTTAAAAAAATCCAGAAACACCGTACGGTTAATTAAAAATAAGACAATAAGTCTTTACCACTGTATAAAAAGTTAAACCGTGTCAAGTGTTGATGTTTTAGTATGTATATTCTATGCATTTGTTGAAAGTTTTACCCAGATATTTGTGAAGTTTTATCTTTTCGAACAGAAAGTGTATGTTTTAGATAAACCTGAAGGTGTTAGACCAATTAAGTGCATTTACATCTCAAGATATTATGATTAATGTAAATTGATAGATTTCTATTGTTAGGTGTAAGTTTATTTACACCAGAATGTGTTGTTTAATTTAATAGGATACCCTGCCTATAACATTGATCATAAAATTGTGTAAACTAGATACACCCTCTCATGCTAATGCCCTCATGGTATATTTAATACTTAAACCCGCAACCTGCAACCCGCAGCCTGCAACCCGCAACCCGCAACCTGTAACCTGCATTTTAGACAATTTCCACTTTTAAGAACTAATCAGATTAATCAATCAATTAAAACGTCTTCATGATTGTGGAGGTCCTTGACCAATTTTGAACATGCTCAAAGCATTCGTGGCCACAACTAGCCGTAGTAGAAGCATAGGAATATCGTAGTCTTAAAATACCTATAATTAAGCCTAATTGACTTGAGGTGTAACAGTAACTATGCAAAAGTTTAAAGACGTATAGTAATGACTAGTGTGAAGCTAGTCGTCGATTAACTATGGTCGCTCATTCTCATTTTTGCTGTTACTTCTCTTTTCAAAATACTTTCAGTTTGAGTAAGTTCCATTTCGAAAATTTACTATAAACTTTTAAAGAAATATAATTTACTTTTTTCTATTTTTTCAAATATTTCTAAAAATTGGCAGAGGTTGATTTTTTTAACCATTTTGAGTAATTTTTTCCTTTGTTTCCCACAAAAATAGGTACTTCTATGTTTGCCTCTATCAAAATATTTGTTAACATATGTAAACCAGGTGAAGCAACTGAATTTTAAGAAAGTAAAAAAGGATTCATATAATAATGGATTAATTTCAGAATTTAGTAATCTTGCAAGTTAGTAAACTCTAAGTTTGTATATGCATCTCTAGTGGGTATCTTTACAATTACATTGTTTAATTCTTTTAAGAAAAATAAGCCCTTAAAGTTTATTATATTGAATATAATTGCGACAACATGCACAATCAGTCATTTTCATTATAGTACAACTAAGATTGTGATAGATATCGTAAACTATCTGCAAAAATGTCCCTCCTCAGCCAAATAGAAAAAAATGGAAGAATTGTATTTTTTGTTATCAATTTCAGTGTTTTATTTTCTACATTTTAATGTATATGAATTGATTGTAATGATTAATGTTTGATCTTTAGCTTGTGTGTTGATTGCTGACAATTTAGACTTTGAATATCATATCAATAAAAGCTTTGACTTTAACTTTCAAACTAACGATTGATTGCTTGCTCTTTTCATTCATTCCATGACGGATTATCAAATGATGCAGAAAAATCGACGAACAATATAAACAGGAAACAAGATCTTATCAAAAGGCGGATACGCTTTAGAAATAAAATTCTTTTGAACCAACTTTAAAGATTGTGACTTATGTGTGAAATAGTCGTGAAAGATTTTAAAGAATTAAGTTTAGATCAAATTCGCACCAATCTGCTTCAATGATGATAATTTTGTTTCAGCAATGTCGTGTCTAAATGTCAAAGGTAGATGATAGAAACTTAATTGCTTATAAACTATGGCTAAATTACGACGGACAACCTGTTGATATGAGAAAATAGGCGTTAAAAAAGATTATTCCTATCTGGCAATGACTGGGAAAAATTACTTTAGTTTGAAAACAAAAATTATGTCCAACAAAATGAAGGAAAATGCTAAAATTAGCCGTTAACGTTAAAAAAATCAGCGCTAGGAAAAACTTTGATTCTTCCAAGCTGTATTTTACACCTGTACTTAATTTCAAAAGCGTTTGACTGTTTAAAATTGTTACTTCTTGAGTGTAAAATATCTTAAATGTATGAGGCGTACGTTTTTTTTTTAATTCTTAAACACTTGACTTTAAATTTCCAAAAAAATTCGTAAGGGCTCCGTCTTTTTTTTTTTTTTTAGATCGAATTATTTTCTCTTCTCGAAAGAGAATATTTATGAATGAATTGAATAAAACCGTCCAAACAAAAGATGAAAATATGAAAAAGTAATATATGAGCCAAATAAAAGACAACTCTACAAAAAAATCTAAATCAAAATATGTAGAAAATGAATCACGCCTTTTATATGGACAAAACTATTGCTGTTTCCAATACACCTTCACGTCAGATGTTCAGTTATCAATTTTTTTTACATAAAATGTAAAATAAGAATTCAATAATTCCTATATATAAATGAGAAGATTTTTTTAGCAGATAATAAATGATGTAGACTTTAAGCAACATTGTAGACCACTTCAACAATGAGCAAAACCCTTTAGGCAAAGCAAGACCTGGAAATACCCCAACTATTCAAAATGTACTTATGTACGGTCCTGTATAATTTCAGATCGAAAATAACGTTTAGTTCCTGACCTGGTTTTAAAAATATGTTATATAGTTTTTTTTCAAGGCAAAAAACCGAGGTTTTATATATATATTTTTTTTTTAAGAAGACAAATGTATCAGCATATATACAATTTATCGTTGGACATCCTTATTAATTTTGTACATAATGTATGGGTATTCTATTAGTACTAGTATTCAAGAGCCAAGTCTTATTTCAATGGTATTCTAAAATCAGTATGTTTGTGTTTCAGGTCGAGGCATTAAAAAGTATACACAAAAAAGATCTCGAGTACAAAAGCGACTCCAGCTAGAAGAATTCTCAGAAGTCACCGATAGCGGCGAAGATGTTGCTGAGGGAAATGACATATCGTATTCTCAAAGAAAAAAGTACTCTCCGAAAAAAGGTTAATTATAGAAATGTATACATTAGCATATAGATATCATAATTATAGGTATAGGGTCAACATAATAACTTAATATTCTACTTTGAATTCATAATAATTAGATTTAGGTGAACTGATTTTCTTCTGTTGCTTTTGAAAGAAAAGGCACTAATAAATGTTCATGGTTCCTTTAAAAAAATCGTTCATTATTGCAGCCATGAAAGCTTTGATTAAAAAGCAAATGGAACTTTATTATATCTAATTGCCTTAATCAATTCACTGAAGACGTTTAGCTTACAAAGGCTGTTTCTTTCATTAACAAAAATACGGGGGGGGGGGGGGGGGGGGGGGGGGGGAATGACAAAACAACTGACTTCAAATATTATTTGTTCATAGCAAGACGGCAATATCTCTCGTCATCATCAGAGGAAGAAACCAGAATCCCAGAACACCATTTGCAGGTTAAAGGTAAAAAATACGTGGATGACACTAAAACTAAGTAACATTTTACTATTTCTAAATGAACACCATCAGAGTTGTTCTTCTTTCACATGTATCCAAAGTTCGCATAACTAAATTTGATGTATAACTTCATAGAATAAGGAATGAGAACGGGGAATCTGTCGAAGAGACAACCCAACCTACATGTTGAGCATAAAAAAGGTCACGGCCACCAATGGGCCTTCAAGACAGCCAGAGAAATCCCGCACCCTGAGGTGGGCTTCATCAATAAAGCAAAATAGTTCAATCAAATGGACGCCGATCTACACTCTACATAGAAATTTACAATTATTAAAGTAAATACAAGACTAAAAAAGGCTATAGAGGTTCCTAACTTGGTACAGGCGCAAAAATGCAGTGGGTTTAAATACGCCCTCCCCCTAATGTACTTATAGCCAATGTGCATTACATAAACACGCACTTGTACAATAAAGCGATATTTCTGGAAGATCTTTAAATAATTTTATAGTAGAGAAAAAGGTAAGTGAAATAGCTGCGTTTGTACAATATCATTTATCAAAAACCTCCAAAAAAATCCAACCAAACACACAATAAACTTTTTTTTTAGGTAAATCTAAGATTGTACCTATCAGACGTTTGGCAGACGTTGTTTGCTGTACAGCTGCTTGTTTAACGTTATTGTCACTATCAACACTGCAACACTGTGGAGATACATTTATGTCAAAAACAAAGTTTCAGCAAAGACAATGGATTCTTGACTACATATGTCAACATAACAGTCTGAATGAATATGATTTGTATGAATACGTGTACGTGATTGGAACTGCAGTAGTGTGTGGTCATGCCTGGCGACATGCATATGGTATCACAGAACGACGTTTCTATTACATAAAACGACAATTCCAAGGTATTTTCAATATTCTATTAAACATTAGTTATAGTTTCACTTCAGTTTGATTTCACGATGAAATACAAAAATTCAAATATACAAGATTGTATACAGTAACTGTTATAATTGATACATTTAACTTGCATATTGGTTGTCCGTACATACATAAAACAATCATACATGCAAAACTTCAGTATTTAGCCTTTTTTCAAATCTTTTTTTTATTAAAAATGTGTTCAAAACATTCGTTTGACGAGAATAATGGGCCATAAAACAGTTTAATTCATAACCAAATCTATTGATTTTTTTATAGAGGGCATTCGTCAATTCAGCACACCGAACAGTCATAAAAAGAACAAGCACAGTCCTGAAGTTCTAGAATCTTTGTCTTGGATAGAATATTATGCTGTTAAATTTGGTGACAAGCTTCCTTATCTAAATGATGAAAAATACCACTTGCCATCTTGTCTAACCAAGAAAGATGTATACAGACTAATGGAAGATGATTTTAAGATCACAGGCAGAAATCCATGTTGCGAGTCATATTTTTATGAATTATGGGCAAAGCAGTTCGGCAAAAAGATTGCAATTCCAAAGGTATTTTATTAAAATGGATACAATATAGTTTACATTCTATATAAGCCTAATCAACTTAATTATCATTGAGGATGACCATGTCACTGAAGTCATAAAATATTCGAGTATGTTTTTGTAAAAATACTCAAATATTAACCAATCAAAATGCTTTATTTATATCGAGCATGGTTTTTGTACTCCGAGCACTGATCTTTGTATTATACTGCAACTAGTTGTGTTTATTTCCTAAATATAGTAACATAGCTATATTTTGTATAATGTCAATTTCATCATGAAACACTTTCTCCACAATCAGGGGTTCATTAAGGGATGAAAATAAGTTTGACAATTGTGTTACTATTTAAAAAGCCATCAATGTATTTGTTTAAGTTGCAGTATTAAAACAATATTAGGTCAATTTTATAAAAATATAAACTTTTATGTACTCGGCGCAAAACTGTGGAAAGGCTCGATAGAACCTCGCCTTCCCCAGTTTCTCAGCCTCATACAAAAATTTTTATATTTTTCTTTCATTGACCTAATATTGTATATTTTTGACTTCAAGCCCTAATACAGTTCATTAATCTTTCGTCCATTTACACATTATTTTTTTTTATAATTTTAGCTTTTTTGAAGGTTATTACTTATTGTTATACGTGCACAACAGTGTAAAATTCAGAACACCCTTGACATCATGACAATTTTCCTATGATATTCACAAAGATTATTATAGTATACAAATTTTTAAACACATTGTTATGTTTTGCAGGAAAACAGATTCGCAAAATGTGATTTTTGTATAAAGATAAAGATCAAGCTAGAAAATCAGAATCTCAGCAAAGCAAAGCGATTGAAATACATGCAGAAGAGAGAAAAACATCTGAAATTGCAGAAGTATGTATATGTTAAAATCATATTAAGGTTAGAAAAAACGTTTGATGTTTAAAAACAACTTTAGCTTGATCTGTAATTAGTAAAGTAATTATTTCCGTAGCCTTTTCGGGTTTGCATTTAAATCTTAAAAAATATGTTTTAAAGAAACAGTTCGTGAATATGATAACAGAACTATTGATCTTTGAAACCATTGGCCGATGAACAGTCCTTTTCGTACAATTTCGTAAAAACTGACTAATTTTTTACGAAATTGTACGAAAAGGACTGTTCATAGGTCTATCATTTTACACAGAAAATATATACTGACAGAGGTATATAATAATATATACGTATTGACTGACTATGACGACAATGGTAAGTTAATTGTCGCCCGAGATTTTCTTTTTCCCTTCGCGAAATGGAAGGAAATAGTTGGTGTCTCAGGGAACAATATTCTTTCATCTATTGTCCAAATAGCCAGTAAATACGTATTTTATTATACAGAAAGCCGGAATGATTAATAATTAGACTATGACGCCAATTTTGTCCAATGTAATTGATGCATGAAAAAGTTCGGGAAATAGGATTGCAAAACTATTCACCGGTCAATAAATAATCTTTGAAACTATTGACCAGTGAATTAAATTATAGTCTTTTGCAAACAGTTTCGTAAAAATAGTAAATTTATACGTTTATCATCTAATATACAAAATACATACTGATGTATAATAAAAATGAACTATAGCATCTGTTACACAATTACACAGCAAAACACAAGAAAAACGTTATTAAAAATGTTGGAATAGGTTTTATACATCTTATATATCTCCATTAACTCCAGCACACACTAAAAAGCATAAAGAGGAAAAACATAAAACGTGTCTTAAAGTACATAATCATGTGTGAGGTACATGCATTCGTGCAACTCACTTGTTCGGTTTTTTTTTTTAGCCAAGAGCGTCAGAAATACTATCGCCACGCTGAGAAGTCACGAAGATATCCACACAAATACCTTTGTATGATAATCGACGGTATGGACCAAAACAAAACCAACATACCTCATTTCCATCGACTCGCAAAATCTACTTCCCAGATGTGGAATTTAAGGACACATCTTACCGGAGTAATTATTCATGGAATATCAACATTTGGTTTTTTTGACATCGGACAGTGGCCACATGACTCAAATCTAACTATGAATATTATACTGAATTCGCTATGGCAAGTAAAGGACAAACTACCAAACATCTTGTATATCCAGATGGACAACTGTTTTCGAGAAAATAAGAACAAATGGGTATTTGCACTTTGTTGTTTTTTGGTTGAGATGAAAGTTTTTGAAAAAGTCAAAGTAAATTTCTTGATGGTCGGGCACACACACGAAGACATCGACCAGTTGTTTTCGAGATTTTCTAATTGGCTTTCAAGGCATTCGGCTATTACAATGATGAAACTGATGTTTGGTTTTGAAAAATGTTATACGCCTTCGCCTATTTCTATTGAATTAAAAGAAATGTTTGATATAAGAAGTTGGTTAGCACCTTGTATAAACAAAGCATATTGTCATAGTGGTCCCCATTGCTTTAAATTCATTTTAGATGAGAACGAAAAAGCCTTAATGTTTACAAAAAAATGGAGCGATGACAAGGTTTGGGTGCCATCCTCCGTACCCGAAGGGCATTCAAAATACCTTCTGAAGAATCTACCTGAAGGCACACCGGGAAAAGTCTCACCTGACTATGATGACATTGATCTTTCACGACTACGATCATCTGTATCAGGTGTAGAACAGTTTATGCAAAATAACGAAAGAACTTGGTGGCGTACATGGCTAGATAAACTTGATTTTATGCAGTGTGCAGATGAAGGTGAGAATGTCTCTGTGTAAGCTAAGTTTTACAGTTGAAAGAGACAATGTTACATATGCAGTAAACACTTAACATACAGCAAATGAAGGTCCTGCAATTGCATATCATGTTGTCAAATATAATATATAAATGCTTAAAGTAAAAATAAATTATCTATCAAAAATACTAGATTTGGATAAAAATCATCTACATAGTATGTGCAATACATCGCCATTTAATGTTTGTCTTTTTTAAAAGCTTTTATAGGGCAAAGACAAATATGAACTACACCAACCACTACAACACCTGAATAACACACTCCTTTCTTTGGATAGTCCGGGACCCATACATTTGTTGCGAATCTGAATATGTTTATGAGCGCATACCTCTATACCAATAAAAATGTTGTTAAAACAACATAACCGATGAAAAGCTCGCATTACCAATTTATATATCATCCATACCGTACGTATTACGTGAAATTCCAGTAGCAAAAACACATACTCGATCGTAAATACATAATATTGTAGGTGAATAAATCACAAAAGCTGCGCAATCAAAATTATGTTGTCAAAGATTAAAATATCAAACATATTAATATCTTTTAGATGATGAAGTTTTAGAAGAAAACTGGTATGTGGACGAGATGTTACAAGCTATTTCTGAAAGACCGTCCTTTAATTTTAGACCTGACAACTTAGCCACAGAAGATGATGATGATTTAAGTGACATTGCGGACGATTTTGCTGAAATACCACCGGTATGATATATTTAATATTAGGCAATCTGCATGTTTACGGGCTGTGGGGGAGAAAAATAATTGTGCCTTGAAGTGTTTTACAATAATTTTAAACAAGATTAAATACAATAAATGTATACAGATACCAAAAGAAACATAAATTGTTAAAATAAAGCGACAATTTTCAATATAGATAAAACAATGCAAAATGTTATTATTTGATATGTGTTTCTTTTCTTTGTCGTTTATTACAACTTATTCTTGTGTTTTGAGTCATAAATCCTGCTAAAAAAATCATTGGTTGTCTTTTAGTATGACTAGAAAAAAATGTACCCGAATATGTTATAAATTCAAGGATTGGAGAGCCATGTTTGTTAAAAAAAATCAGAAACAAAATGTGAATGTTTTTCTATCTTTATTTTTTTCATATAGGTTCATCTTGGAAAACCGCCATCAAGAAAAAAAAAGAACGAACAAGTTGTTTCGGCTGTACCCGAGGTTGGCGATATCTGCGGTATGGATGTCGAAAAATATTCGGATTTCTGGCCGCAGATTGGTGAAATCAAGTCTATTGACGGTAACTGTGTTCAACTTGTTTGGTTCAAAGGAGCTAGAACTACTGTTTGGCGTCCATGGTTGATACAAATGGGAAAACAAAGAAAACCATGGACAGAAGAATTACAACTAGAAGACATTGTAGTTAATAAAATCAAGCTCACCAATAGTGGAAAACTTTCTCAAGAGAGCGTTAGAGTGCTTGATGAGATCGAACGGAGATTCTAAAGTCCCAATACATTAACTCATGATGATAAGTGTGTTTATCCTTCTAATCGAATCCGACTATTATAATTATGACAAAAATAACAGTTTCTTTATAAACACAAATGAATCGATATACTGTGTAAATGTAGTTTTATCTGCATGACTTTTTGTATAAAGTATTATAGAAAACATAAAGTCTATGTTTTCTCGTTTGCTATTTTATCGCTTGTGTTTCAGTCAGTTACATAGATTGAAATTTGGTGTTTTTTACTGTACTCTGTAGCAGCTGTGATAATATACTTATTATACGATTATTATTCATGGACGCCAAAAACATATTATTTACAAAGAGTATATCCCAGTTTATTAATTTACAGCATAAAACATAAACAGTTTATAGGCGTAGTTAGGACTACAGTTGTATTTGTAATGACTAGAGTTTGACAATATTTAAATATATATATATGTATAGATAAACATTAATGTCTGGTCATTATATGCATTCCATTTGATTTATTTGCGTGTTATAAAGTCATATGAAACCTCAAATTAAAAAATATACAAGCAAAGGGTCATATCTAATGTGATCACGTGATTTAATAGACCCTTCTCTCGCCAACTTTGAACTGCTCAAGTTCAAAACAAATATGCACAAGATATTTTTAATATTTTCATAAAAGTTCATTGATATATTTTAATTATTTTAGATATGTAAATATAGGTTTTATAGTTATTTCAGCAAATTCGCATTTCAACCAGCTTGGTTGCAGTTGGTGTTTACCTAACCGGCTGGTTTCAAAACAATAATGACAGTTTAAATAAAGACAAGTAGTGTTGATTTCCATTTCCATTCTCAATTTTATTGATACATAGCAAATGCATGTCCATGTCATATTATTTCGTTTATATTATGAATGAATGTTCACCAGCACAAGAATAAACTCTGGCATCCTTCTAGTCTTGTTGGCGATCAGCAAATGGAAACTGTTTTAACATGTGTAGTGGTTTGGCCTAAATTAAGTAAGTGTACTTAATACACACGATCATGATACGACAGTCAGACAAATAGTACAATCAAAGCAATTCTTCCAAATTATAAATAAACGGGTCAGAAAAAATCGTTTCTCACTTTAAAAACCCGATATATATATATATATATATATATTCTCCTTTTTATTATACAATATTGGGGTTTAATGCTTACGACATGTCAATTAAACCAAGATGAAAAGGCTAATCTCAAACACAACAAAAACAATTATTTGTTATAATTTGGGTATCTCAAACACACAAACACACAAACACATATCATGAAAAATGTTCATAACAGTCATGTAAAGTAGTTATCACTTTTCAATCCAGTCTTTGAAAATTCGCAACGTTTTTTTTAAACCCCGCTTTAAAAAATTGGGTATACTGTTTTACCTCTGTCTATCCGTCCTTCCATCCATCCATCCATCTATGCATCCGTCAGTCCATCCGTCAGTCCGTCCTCCCGTCCAATGAATATTTTTGTCACATTTTCCCCAGAAACTACATTACAAGGATTTCTGCAATTTGGTTTCAGGGTGTATATAAGACACCTATATCTTGTGATACATTTTCAGATTCATCACTCAACAACTTTCCGTTTACCGAAAACTTGTATCGTTTTACACAAGAAATTTGATAATTACATCAGGACCATGCAACAATGTTGCACTGGATGTCTTATGTCAATAAATGAGAAATCTTTATGAATGAATGCCGAACCAAATAATCATGGTAGTAAATATGAAAATATCCAGGACTTGTTGAAGTAAGACAAAAAGTCAGTCTTGGATATTTCGGAAAAAAACCATGAGGAAAATAATAGTTTAAGCCGCCTCCTTAGAAATGAAATGTTTGCTCCATACGAATACATTTAGAGTTTTTGGTAGGGTTCGTGTTGCTTAGTCTTTAGTTTTTCTATGTTATGTCTTGTGTTCTATTACTGTTTGTCTTTTTCTTTGTTAGCCATGGCGTTGTCAGTTTATTTTCGATCTATAAGTTTGACTGTCCCTCTGGTATCTTTCACCCATCTTTTGAACATATTATGTTCTCAAAACTACTACTTGTATATACTTTTGATATGCAGCATCCAAAATTGTATTTGGATTTTGAATATAAAGTGGTATGATTGCCAATGAGACAACTCTATACAAGAGATCAAATGACAGAAATTAACAACTATATATAGGTCGATCACTGTACGGCCTTCGATATGCAGCATCTGAAAATGTATTTGTATTTTGAATTTTGGGTCCCTTTTTTAGCTCACCTGGCCCAAAGGGCCAAGTGAGCTTTTCTCATCACTTGGCGTCCGTCGTCCGTCGTCCGTCGTCCTGCGTCCTGCGTCCTGCGTCCGTCGTCCGTAAACTTTTACAAAAATCTTCTCCTCTGAAACTACTGGGCCAAATTTGACCAAACTTGGCCACAATCATCATTGGGGTATCTAGTTTAAAAAATGTGTCCAGTGACCCGGCCAACTAACCAAGATGGCCGCCATGGCTAAAAATAGAACATAGGGGTAAAATGTAGATTTTGGCTTATATCTCTGAAACCAAAGCATTTTGAGCAAATCTGACATGGAATAAAATTGTTTATCAGGTCAAGATCTAACTGCCCTGAAATTTTCAGATGAATCGGACAACCCGTTGTTGGGTTGCTGCCCCTGAATTGGTAATTTTAAGGAAATTTTGCCGTTTTTGGTTATTATCTTGAATATTATTATAGATAGAGATAAACTGTAAACAGCAATAATGTTCAGCAAAGTAAGATCTACAAATAAGTCAACTTGACCAAAATGGTCAGTTGACCCCTTAAGGAGTTATTGACCTTTATAGTCAATTGTTTTATCATTTTTCGTAAATTTTTGTAATCTTTTACAAAAATCTTCTCCTCTGAAACTACTAAGACAAATTTAACCAAACTTGTCCACAATCATCATTAGGGTACCTAGTTTTAAAAATGTGTCCGATGACCCCGCCCGCGAACCAAGATGGCCGCCATGGCTAAAAAATAGTACATAGGGTAAAATGCAGTTTTTGGCTCATATCTCTGAAAGCATAGCATTTAGAGCAAATCTGACAGGCTAAAATTGTTCATTAGGTCAATTTCTATCTGCCCTAAAATTTCAGACCAATCAGGCAACACGTTGTTGGGTTGCTGCCCCTGAATTGGTAATTTTAAAAAAATTTTGCAGCTTTTGGTTATTATCTTGAATATTATTATAGATATAGATAAACTGTAAACAGCAATAATGTACAGCAAAGTAAGATCTACAAATAAGTCAGCATGACCAAAATTGTCAATTGACCCCTTAAGGAGTTATTGCCCTTTATAGTCAATTTTTTACAATTTTCATAAATTTTGTAAATTTTTGTAAATTTTTACAAAATATTTTCCACTGTAACTACTGGGCCAAGTTCATTATAGATAGAGATAATTGTAAGCAGCAAGAATGTTCAGTAAAGTAAGATCAACAAACACATCACCATCACCAAAACACAATTTTTTCATGAATTCATCTGTGTCCTTTGTTTAATATGCACATAGACCAAGGTGAGCGACATAGGCTCTTTAGAGCCTCTAGTTAACTGTTCTACCTCTTATTTTTCATTGGATCCAAAAATCCTAAATTATGTATTTAGATTTTTTGTTTTGGGTCCAGTTTTTAAGTTGTGCAAATCCGGGTAAAAAAATATACATTTTGTTTGAGTTCAGCAAATGAAAATAAAATAATGGGCATTTTGATATGATTAATCTAATCAGATTTAGAATTTTGGGCTTGTTTTCAAATTGGTCTACATTGAGGTCCAATGTCCAACTTTTTCATTTGTAAGTTATTTGACCATATTCATTCTGTGTCAGTAACCTATGCTGTAATCGCATTCCTAATTCAGGTCTGTATCCAACTAGACTGTTTTGTCCATACTTGCCTCGTCTATGAATACATGTCTACTTATAACATGATATGACTACATGTCTTCTTATAACATTATATGAATACATGACTTCTGACAACATTATATGAATACATGTCTACTTATAACATTATATGAATACATGTCTACTTATAACATTATATGAATACATGTCTATTTATAACATTATATAAATACATGTCTACTTATAACATGATATGACTACATGTCTACTTATAACATTATATGAATACATGTCTACTTATAACATTATATGAATACATGTCTACCTATAACATTATATGAATACATGTCTACTTATAACATTATATGAATACATGTCTACTTATAACATTATATGAATACAATCATGTCTACTTCAGACTTAGCATGAATACATGTCTACTTATAACATTATATGAATACATGTTTGAAATGCAATTGCATGTCAGTTATGAATACTTGAATTATCTGCATGAATTGAAAGTGTATGCAAACTCATAAATTTTTGGAAATATCTGCGAAAAATATCTTGAAACAATGCGAATTCATTTCTACATTGCATTTTTCTGTAACAAAAAACGCTATATAAACGACTAATTCTGCCACTGCAAGTTGAAAGCATAATGCAAGTCGAAAATATAATGTGTTCAAATCGAAAACAGAAACGACTCGAGGAAATGTTAGATAATAGTACATTTTGACAAATTTGAAATGACTTGTTTATTACTATTGACTGAAAACAGGACATCGTGTTTTGTCATTTTTACCTAATTTAGATTATCATACAGGAAATATATATTGAATGAGGAAATTATAATGAATCGAATAATTTCAGCAGGCAGAGGTACGTAATTTGCATGAAAAAGTTCAAAGTTATTTACTCTTAAACAAAAAACAACAAAACAAAACCAAAAACAAAAAAAAAAAAAAAAAACAATAACTGGGACTGATCTTCAGCATTGACTTCTTGGCTTATGATACTCTCGAATTTTCTACATGGGATTTCGACATTCCTTTCGTAATTGCACCCTGAATCTGACATGGGTGTATCTAAAATACGTATCTAAATGAAAT